TTAAAGTTGACAGGGTGGGTTAAAGTTGACAGGGTGCGTTAGGATGCGTAACACATTTAAAAAAGTAATATCACAATTATACTGTAAAAATAAAATAATCTAGGCTATACGTATATAATTAGGTAAGCGTATAATACTTGATGTAAAGCGCAGTTGATCATATCCACATGTAAATTTGCGCTACATAGAAATGCCAATCGTAATCTTAGTTGCGCTTTAATCGGTTGCTAAGTTACACCCAATCTTTTGTAGGTGACTAATGCATTGCACGCAGAAGATGCTGATGAGGATGAGGAAACAGAGCTTGAAGCCTACACGACCACAATAGACAATGAAGACGCTGTTGACGAGTATACGGTGTTTCAACAATGCTTGTTGAGTAAGTAAATTGTGGACGCAACAGAGATTGCGATGACGTTTTCTTTGGTAGTATAATGAGGATCGAAATGTGCAGTCGAGGAATTTCCACCCGCTCTAATGAAACCAATCTGAAGAACTTTATCTGAAAGAATCTTTACCAGCCTCAAAAAGACGTTTGTTGGGTTGATTTGAAACAGAGCTGTACAGTTTCGTATTAAAATTTGACTGAAACGAGGAAGCTAAGTGAAAAGTGAAGCGAAAAACAACACATTGGCTGCTTAAACCATTTGATCACAGCGCGAATACAATGTATATTTGGATAAATACCGAACAAACTCACTTACCGATTTCCTCTTCAAGAGATGGATCCAATAGCGAATTTGCTTCCCTTGCTTTGGAAAACTGAGCCAAACTCTTCGTTTTCTGCCATATTAGAATAATATATTTGCGTATGTGTGAAACCTGAGCCGTTTCTCATATATCAAACCAATCAACAGCGGTATTTGCGGTCATGTGGGGCAGTGCATTCTGCCTTTAAGTTTTTATTTGGATGTTATAAGGACGTACAAAAATTGCTGGAGAGAACATATATGCGGGCTCTGGGCGGAACTTGGAAAACTAGGGAGACGTGAGCCACCTCATTGCTTTTTTCCCCAATATTATCACCTCCTGCCCACATCCTTCATCCTAACTTCCAAATAAAAACAACTTTGACATACAGACTTGGAGTAAATCCAGTTTTCAACTTTGAGTCAAGCATGTATTGACTGCAAACTGAATAAAATATATACCAAAATTTTACGAATGAGCCAAGAAATAATATCAGAGCACAGAGCGTCTATATACGCTACGAATCCTGAAGTACAATTATACCAAGAAAAAGTCAACCATGCTGAACCAAATATATACCAAAATGTTACGAACGGGCAGACAAACATGAAAACATCACTTCTGGCGGAGGGGATGACTATAAGAGTATCGATATATCTGATCATTGGTCTTTATTGATTTTCAAGATATTCAAGCTCAAGATCCGGCATGGTACAATCAGTTGACAAATAATCTCAATGAAGAACAGAAACAAGAGCTTCAACATTTATTTGTATTAGCTGATCAAAGGAGGGCAGCACAGGGTAAGAAACTATACAACATAACCACGTGTTTCTATTCCCACTTATGACGTATATTATTTTGACCTGCATGCTTATTATATTCGACTGAGGTAGATAATAACTTCCCCACGAATCACCTTCGGTCGGAACGCCGAAATTTTGCTTATATTTTTCGGGTAGTCGAATCCCCCTCTCATGATTTGCAGCTTCCTAGATTTGATCCTAGCCTCGGTGGATGAGGCAAAATGTTGGAGATTAAAACTTTCCCAAGAGCAAGTCCGCAAAATCACGTAAAAATTGACGTTGACAATTAATTGCATGTGTATGGAATTAAAACTGAAAATTCCGTATTACACATCATGTTTTGAAAACAATTTCCCATTCCATTGAGCCGTAAATAAAAATCCCATTTTCCGAACAAAAAATGGAAGAATTCCCCATTCCACAAATTCCGCCCAACTATAGCCGCCAGCGTATGGTTTTCATACCAAATTTATATTATGATCACCAAATTTATATTATGATCAATTGGCGAATTTACTTAGTATTCATACACAGTCCTGGATAAAATATTTTCTTCTGTGACCATTTGCAATACGTTTCTGTCTGCCTTTTCCTGCCCTTTCAACATGAACATGTTTTCTGAATATGAACATGTTTTTGAACAGCTAGAAAAGGTTTTTTAAATCCAGTTTCATTTTCACCTGGTGGTTCTTAATCCACTGGTTTAACTATGCTAGAACGGAAAACGAACCCTATAGAATGCCATAAGCTACTTTATATACATTGTTTAAGTTGTTCAATTGTTTAATGAAAAAACTTGTTCAGCTGTGCCATTCAAGCCATATCTAACCTCACACTTGCAATACACTTTTTAGTCCATCCATTTCTCCCTCCCAAATCTAAAATTATTATTTCTTGAAAATACTTGGTTTAAAGGAAACACAATTTCGTCGATATGGATGCAACTACCTGAAAAATATATTAAGGAGAATTTCAACATTTCGAGCGAAGGCCCTTCGTCTGGAGTTACTACAGGGCCTTCGCTAGAAACGTCGAAATTCTCCTTATATATTCAGGCAGTTGCATCCCCACCAACGAAAGCTTGTTTATATTACTGGTACTACCTACACTGGCACATGTACAGAATGTTCAAGATTATGTTGGTTTAAAGGACGTTGGCAACAAAAAATTTTATTGTCTCATTTGAAAGAAAGTTTAAAATTATATCTATAAAATATTTTTACAGATTTTTCGTAACAAGCTTAACTCTTGAAATATTTTGATTGGAAGCAATGAACTGTCCACCGTCTTGGATTAATTCTTAACCTCATTAACTGTCGTTTTGATGACGTCAGGAGTGGGAGTGAGTAACAGTCAAAAGTAGTTTAAAATGTTTTTATTCAATTCGAAATTCGAAATGGCAACCAAAACTGGAGTTTCGGGCTCAAATTGATCACTGGCTGTCACGATAAAAACTAGCTTGACCCCACTTGTGACGTATGTGTATGTCCTCAATAATCCAAGACAGCGGACAGCTCATTGCTTTCAGTCAAAATATTTCAAGAATCAAGCAAGATCTGAAAAATCTACAGGATGTCTGAAGAAAAGTTTCCCTTTAGAAATCACTCTGATCTTGTGCGTTATTATATGCCTGTGGGAATTTAATGAAATTGTACATGAATGGCGGAAGTATTTACAACTTCCCTTCGTTCAAATAATTTAACACTTCGGTTACACTTTGCGTTAACGTATATGTTGTTACGACAAATACTCGTTGCACCATTCTTACTCGAACTGACGGTAAGACGAATTTGTAATTTGGCACTTTTGTGTTGCTGTTTGTTTTAGAAGCTATTTTAAATTCCCAGAGCAGGGTTCGTAGCGGTCTTTGAAATCCTTGAAAGTCTTCAAATTTGAATGCAGGTCTTTAAGGTCTTTGAAAAGTCTTTGAATTGTGTGAAAACGCGAAGAAAGTCTTTAAAAGTCTTTAGATTATTTAGTAAGTGTTTGATTATACGATTTCCTAGCTAATAAAATAGGTTGATTGAAGAGCAAGGTTTTCGCAATATCGACGAAAAGGCGCATTTTAGGATGTGATTTGACGGGACTAATTACCGGGTAAAAATGGCGCTTACACTCGCAATTTTTCGACAACTGATTGCTCTCGACAGCTGATTGCTCTGAAAGGTCTTTGAAAAGTCTTTGAAAATAGGCAGAAAAAATCTTTGAGAGTCTTTGAATTTTTTTGCTCTTGGAGACTACGAACCCTGCAGAGGTATAACAACAATAGAGTGGTTTCTTTAGGGGGGACTTTTTTCGGACACCCTGTACAGGGTGTATCAAAAAAAATGTACACCCTTTCAAATTCAAATGAGCTATAACGTATTGTAGTAATTTAACAGCTCTAATTGCTTTGAATTAATGGTTGGCTAAGAACACAAGGTCTTGTACTCATGGGACGAAACTCAAAGAAATAAAAATTAGAAAATTTAAAAGAAATACAGTATTTCTTTTAAATTTTCTAATTTTTATTTCTTTATATTTTTATTTTCTAATTTTTATGACTTTTACTAAACCTCTTGAGGGACATTTCATCACTAATCGACCGTAATGCCATGCTATTACTTTGTAATATCATAGTTGCCGAGGGAATCGCGCGTGGTGTGTTGCCTGTTTTGAATGCTGTTTGATTGTCTTATGATTGTGGTACGAACACTTTTCATATATACGCACGCGCAGAAACACATCTCCGTGTCCGTTGGCGATTTAGGCATGCGCATAAACGGAATTTTCTCCCACAATTGTAATGTTCAAGATTAGGGAATAAAAGCTGGCAAAGTGATTGTTCGAATGTGTACGGGACGGTGTCGTCAGATACTGTCCATAGTTGTGCCGATGATTTTCGATGAGGTACAGCTCTCCAATCAGGTAATGAGGTACGCGTTTGTCTTCTAAATTTCCCTCATCAAGCATGCAGGGGAAAACGAGAACTAATTTTACCACGGGCAAAGTTAGTTCTAATTTTGCCCGTGGTAAAAATTAGTTCTAATTTTACTCCATGTTTTAGTAATGAGGTAAATTAGTGATTAATCGTACCTCGCGAGACATGGATTTCGAGGCAACTATGGTATTACTCATTTAAGAGGAAAACATGAAAAATCAGATGGTATGAAAACCTACTAATTTTTCATAAAATTCTCTTTCTGTGTAGAAACGCGGCACCTGGACATGCAAGGTGGTTATAGTTTTGCCAGTACCGCTGTACCATCGAACTTCTCATTTGGACAGTCCTAGTATATATTGTGCCGACTGCTTAAATCATTGATGTCAAACCTAAAGAACCCAATTACGAAGGTGATTTTTCGACCTTCTTCTGTACCTTCTTGGTTTGTGAACCAATTTGTGGTGCGGAGCAACCAATACAACGCAAATGAAATTTATTTTAACCTCTAGTATATGATAATGTATTTATTTAAGTGTGGTTTTATATAATAAGGTCAATAATAGAATAATAATGAAATGCTAATGGTAATGGAACGAAATTTCATTTGTCTTCACTGAAATAACTTCATCACTTTTTTATCTAAGAATTATATATAAATATACATACATTATTACATTAATAAAATTATTATACTTCAACTTCAAAGTGTCCAATCAGAAAGCCAAGTTAGTGCCACGTCAGCATGAAATGTATCTTCGAATCACGCCCACGTCATCGCATTTGACGTAGCGGGTGATTTTAATCACCCGGGTGATATAATTCGCGAAAGCCACGGGTGGCGATCACGCAAACAAGATGCCGTCAAAATAGATACTATTAAAGATTTTGAGCATGAAAGAAAGCTGTTTTTTATCAAAAATGTTGAAGAAAGTTTAAAAAATCAATATTCCATTTACAATCAATATTCCAAAGATTGGTTATTTTAAAAAAGACGACAAATACTTATGTTAATTTAATAACAAAAATAGAACTTCTTATTCACGAAGGCATGTGGAGGGTTTATTCTCAACTTATATTTGGGTAATATTCATGTCATAATAATATGTTTAATTAATTTCTTAATTTCTTGTGAAGAGGTAGGCCTGTTTCACACGTCGAATTAAAAAGAAGGCCCCTCTCCGCCAGTGGGGGTGGGTGGGGGGTTCTTTTTAAGGAAAAGGGGACCTATTCACGCTGTCAACCTTCCTGGAAAGGGGGGTATGTCCCCAGAACAATAATAAATGCGGAAAGTGTATTTCCAACCATTTCCCTCAATAATGTTGCTTAAAATGATAATGTGTATTACCTCCTGATGGATGGGCAGATATATTTCTCAAAACTCGTGTCTACTACAAACAGGCTTTCTTGCCATCCTATTTTTCCTACTTTTCTTAAAATTTCCTACTTTTCCTATTTTTTATTAAAACTTGCTTGATTTTCCTACTTTTTCCTACTTTTTCTCATAAAATCCTACTTTTTTAAGACAGCTTGGGGAATCAGTATGTTATAGCTCTCGTAATTGGATCTATAGGACTCGTAATTTTTATTCGCTATTTGTGTCGCAGATGATAAGACTCGGGAGGAGAAGAAGTACATTTTCCGAGTATAAAATTTCATAGCATCTCTAGAGTCATAATCAATAAATTAATGAAGACTCTGAAAGTTGCTTGTTCAGTGATACACCTTCGAAACTGGCGGCGCAGTCAAGCACGATTCTCGGTTTTTGGGGTTTTTGAGGGTGCACAACCGGGTGATGTGGGAGATACCATGCATTGCTGTTTTCTGGTCTCGCTTCGAGAGGGGGGACTTGATTGATCTTGCATGCATACCCTTTGTTCACGTAATCATCGATCCCTTTCTTGTATTTGTCGTAGAGGTTGGAATCTTTCTTCAGTCTCGTCTTGAGGGAATTTAACCTTCGTTCTGCTAAACTCTTGTTGTTAGGGAAATTCGGTCTTTCACGCAATGGCAAATCCAGTTGGTAGGTAGGTAAAACTTTATTTAAACACGCTAACCCCTTCAATACAAATTGATTTCCAAGGGGGGCGTGGTGAAAATATTTAAAACACATAATAAACAACAAGACACGTATTTACAAAGTTAAATATTTACAAACTAGTAGATCGTGACAGGCTAGTTGCACATAAAAGCGAGTTAAAAATTCCTAGGCTTTCCGCGTTTCTAACTTCAATAGGTAAATCGTTCCACAATTTAACACCATTGAAACTTATACTCTTTTTTAAATATTCCGTTTTAGGAAAAGGAAGATAGAGCTTCATGTCAGAATTACGTAAATTGTAGTCATGAGATCTGGCAACTGAAGCACTAGAAAATATTTCAGTAAGCGCAGTAGGTGCAAAACCATGAATAATCTTATACATGAGTCTGGCTTTAGATTCAAATCGACGTTCCTTAAGTGTTTTCCACCCGAGCGCAGTCAAAGCAGCTTCTGAGCATCATTGCTCATTTGGGTAACCCATAATTATTCTTGCTGCCCGATTTTGAAGAGTCTGCAATGACTGTCCACGACAATGAGCGACTGCTCCATGATGGCCAGAGCCCTTTTGTCTTCCAGCGACATCTCCGAATCTTGACAATACGTCGTCTCACTAAAGTCCATTTGGAACATCTTGTTCACCTTCTCCGTCAAGATATCGTCCTCACTCTGAATAAAGAAAGAACTCACTTCGTTCGCAGACGCACTCTCCATTGGACCAGCAACTGACCAGCCAAAGGGCGTTCTAATGGCGTACGGCTCCTTCTTACGACCTCGGCGCTCTTCCAACTTCCAGTGTGCTTCGGGAACATCCGTACCGATCAGAATAGTCACTTCCGTATTATCCAACTCGGGAATAGAAATTCCATCGAAGTGACGCCACTAACCAATGTCTTCTTTGTTTGGGATACAACTTCTTGCGACTGACAAAGACTTTACCGACAAAGCGTTTGGGATTTCGAGACAGTCTTTCTGTTCCAAACCTTGAACGTATAAGAAGTGAGATCTCCCCGATTCTTGTGACACATTATTCATTGTAGTGAGCGTGAAATCTATTGGCTGTCCGTTCGAGTTCAATTCTTCGACTAGACTCTCTTTCACAAGGGTGGTATTTGAACCTTCGTCTCTTATTGCATAAGTTTTCTTCTCACAACTTCTATCTTTCCCAAACACCTTTGCAGGAATTACTTGTAAGCACACTTGATTCTTGATGGTTCCGGTGGCACCACAGTGACCAGTCTGAACATTTCCGGTTGGAATCGCGTGTGAGTCTGGTTTTCTCTCTTCGTTTTGATTTTCTGGCACGTCTTTCTTTCCGCCCTTGGCAGTCTCTGCGGGATTGAGCATTGGATGATGGCGCTTTCCGCATCCTGGAACAAAACAGCCACGACACCTCTTGCAGTTACTGGCGAAATGACCCTTGCAGAGACAAAGGTTGCACAGTCTCTTCGTGTTTACGATGCTCTTTCGCTCTTCATAGGGCTTTCCTTGAAACTTAAAACACTTTTCGATTGTGTGACCATCTCTGTCGCAAAATAAACATTTTGGTCTGCCCGTCAGGTTCCCATGCCTTGAATGATCCCCAGAATGTCCCTTTATCTCTGTGTTTGAACCGTGTGATAGGTAAGTCGACACATTCCTGCCCACTCGAGGCCCCTTACCAAATTCCTTTTTGTTGTTGTATCTTGCACTTGTGAGTCGACCATATTCAGTGTTGGCCAGCTTTGCCTTCTTAACAACAAATCTCGTCAGCTGCGCAAAGTCTGGTTCTTTACTCCTATCTCTTGAGTTTTGTGCCTCTTTGGCCCACTCCGAACGAATATATCTTGGGAGACGCATGACTACAGCACTCATGTTGCTTCTTGAGTTGATGTCAGCCTGATAGCCGAGTTTGTTCAAGTTCATCTCGCAATTCTCCATATCTCGTGCAAGCTGCATCAATCTTTCGTTCTCGTTCTCTTTGATTGGTCCCCCTCCAGTGATTTTATCAATGTGGGATGCTGCGACTATATGTGTTTGTCCAAACATCTCATGTAAGATAGACTTATAACCTTCCTCTGCAGGTAACATTACAGTTCCACTTATAGCTTCCTTCGCCTTTCCACTACATAGTTGTATCAGGAAGTTACGTCTAGCGTTATGGCTGGGCTCAATGTCTTCTACATTAGTTTTGAAATTCTCCATGAAGCTCGGATAGGTCAACGGGTTGCCATCAAAGGTCATATACTCTCTTCGTGGCATTTCGAATCTCTTGCTTATGGTAGTTCCAATTGTGCTTGCCATCAAGTTGAGGGCTTGTTGTTGATGTTCAAATATCTGCTGGGCAGTAGTATCGGGTTCTGGTAATGGTACATTGTTGGTGATATAAGTTCCCAAATGTTGTGGGTTGTGTTGACCACTGAGATGCCGGGGGACGAACACAGGAGGTTGACGCCGTTGTATATTGAATGATTGTTCACGATAACAACCAAGTGATTGCCCTGACGGTTGCTGGTCACCCTCCCGTGGCGGTCTTCTTGCATATGGTGTGCTACACTGGGGGTGGTTTGGAAATGGTTGCATTCGACTCGGCTGTGGTGGAATCTCGCCATTTCGGGTAGTCTCTGGTAACTGTGCTGATGGTGAATTGTGGGTCTTCAAACTTGTTTGATTAGCTAATGTGACTCTTGGGATATCTGTGGCGTCCCTCGTAGAGGTTTCAATGTTGTTGTTCATACCACTAGCAGCTATAGGACGATCAACCTGTTCCTCCGACTGATCCAATATTTCGGGGCAATCATCACCTCGATTTGACCTTGAATCTGGATCATCCTCATCATGTTCTAGCTGTTCTTGCATTTGTGCTTCTGCTAATCTTACCTCTAATTCATGCAATCTGCGCCTTTCTTCCAGCTCAGCTAGCTTCTTCTGCTGTTCCATTTCGTGTCTTTGCATTTCTAAGTGTAACTCTCTCTGTTCCTGATCTAGTCTCTGTTTTTCCTTTAAATGCTTCAACTCTAGCTCGAGTTTAGTTTTGACAATAGTGGACCTGTTCGACACTCCTGACCTGATGCTAAGTGCAGGGGCAGATCGAGTTACCCTCTGCCGGGTCTCTCCCACAATAGGCTCAGTAATCTTGACTGGGCAAGTAGAATGGGCTCCCTCTGGCAATTCGACTCTGTTTACCCATTCTGCAGTGTAATCCAAATGTTCCTGCCTTTGTTGTATTAAATAACCCGAACTTCTTACTCGTTCGGTTGAATAATGGCCGGATTGTTCTTCGGGTAGAGGGGGGCCCCTAGTACCCCTTACGACATCCATATCCAGACGTCCCGT